CAGAATAACTTTTAAGTACAGAAGTATATTACATAGATGTGTATGAAATGTAATATTTTAAAATATCCTGTTTGGAAGAGTCAAATAGTATATGCATTGATGTATATATAGTATCGATATTAACATGCATCCATTTATAATTAACTTCTTTATTTTAGGAAAAAGACGTTTCCTTAATGTTATTATTAAATTTCCTTCAAACAAAATTTCTATCCACATTGTGAATGTGAAGAAATAATAGGTTGTTTAATGCATCAATCCACTTAATTTAACTTTATTTAATTATTAGATAATATAAATCATGGCAGTGCATAATATTACATTGAAGAAAATACATAATTACTTTGATAAATAAAGATAAAATTAAAGATAAATTGAAATTCTAAGTCCAAGCTTAGAGTCTCCTTAAAGATTATTTTGCTGAGTTTACACACCTACACTATTTACATGGCAATGGAATACCCATTTCTGACGAAACTAAACATAAAAGGGTATATAAATGAAGGATCATTTTGTATCTGTATATACAAAATAGGATAGATATACAGCTACTTTCTCTTAATTCAGTGAGAACAAGTATTAGTACTAATAGTGTTTGGGCAGGATAACATGTCTTCATCTTGTACTATGTATAACCACTACGAAGACAACCATATGCAATGTATTATTTATTGAAACTGTCTTACTAATCGCTTTTGAAACTGTCTCATTGCTATTTGTTTCTCAGTAAAATTAATATAAAGAGTTTGTTGAAGAATGAAGCAGTGAGTCACAATGCAGCTGAGTGAGGTTCAGAAATACAAGTCCATCCTCAGTCCCAGGATTCATGGCCCAGAGAATTTCACCACCTTGTCCTATGTAGCATTTTCTGTAAGGTAACCTGAATTTACTATCGACAAAGTGCAATCTGCTTTGAGTGTTGTGGCACGAAGTTTCTTACAGAAACTGTATATAAAGGGAATTTTCATTGACAGAATTGTCAATGGAAGATTTCTTTGTTAGCATCAGAGTTAATTAGTATTGCTCTGGAGTTTCTGCACCACGGTAAACATTCAGCAAGTTAGGAGAGAGTAAAAGATTTGGACCAACTAGTAAACATGAATATTCCATTAGGAATAAGAACACTCACCTAAAAGTAAAATAAAATTTGGGCACTGTGCCAAACAAAGCCTAAGTAAATGAAAAGAAATATTTTTAATGTAATATTGGTAAGTGAAATTCCTTTGAGTACAACACGTAGTATAGCATCAGCCTTAACAAAACAAACAAGACATTTTAAAACTCTAAAATTCTAGCAAAGAAAAAAAAGCACTAAAATATTTTGTAAAGGTTAATTTTTAAAATTTTAATCAAGTTTGGCACCACTAATAAACATTAAAGGAAGAGAGAATTTTTATATGTGATACAAAACTATACAAGTGCTCCGAAATTTGCAAAATCTGTGGAAACAGTGAAGCTGAGAACCTGAAAGAAGTACGTTATTTAGAGAAAAGGCAACTAATAGATGCATTAATGTGACATATTACAAAAAAGTAACATCTGTGTGTATCTATCTATCATACTATCTATCTATCTATCTATCTATCTATCTATCTATCTATCTATCTATCTATCTATCTATCTATCTATCTGCATATCTATCTATCTATCTATCTATCTATCTATCTATCTATCTATCTATCTATCTATCTGTCTGTCTCCATGTATCTATCTTGATCTCTCTGATTATCATCTATCTTTTAAACATATTTAATTGAAGTTCATTGAATATTAAATTAGGTTATTCACAGTGTAAACTATTTTGCAACTAAAGTCAAGTGGATGCACACATGCATGAGAAAAAAATTTCAGAGATACTAAATACTTGTTTAGAATCTAAATTAATAAACAGCACAAAAGTATATTATTGGCACTGCATTTGATTATCTGAACAGAATTTCCTTCATTTTTCCTTCTCATTTTAGCAAGAATCCAAATTCCCTTCTGAGGCCCTACACTCTTGCTCCTGATGAATACATCAGCCTGGAAAAAGAAAAACACCTCATAATTGCAAGTGTGTTCCTTTCAGCCACAGATAGAACTCACAGTTTATGGCCTACAAAAGCACTTGATTCTCTGAGCACAAGTCAGGACAGCAGAACACAATAGAAGAGTTGGTAGCTCATCCTGACATCCTAGGAACATAAATAAATCCTACCTCCTTGAACTATTATTGTAATCTGATAATGCCTTGTACTTGATACAGCTTCTTACTCCTAACTGTACTCAGATGATGGCAGATTGTCCTGGGATCTCTTTAGTTCTTATTCTATGAGGCAGTAGCTAGACTCCCTCATTCTCTCTCTACATGTTGCTAGTTAGCATGAAATGCACACTAACCAATTCATTAATAAGAATATGCCCACCCACCAAAAAAACACCTTTCAGTGCATTCTATCCTGAGGGCTATGTCCCAAAAAAATAAAATCCTTCTTACAATCTTCAATATGTGTCATGAGTTATTAATCCTCTCCCAAGGATTAGGAGATTTTGAGAACAGTTCTGAGTCTCTCAAAAACGTTCTGATCTGTCACCCAGAAAAAAACGCTAAGTAGTCATTGTCAGATTTACAACTCTATATAGTAAGCACTTATTTATTTATTTATTTGTTTGTTTATTTATTTATTGTGGTACTGGGGATTGAACTCAGGACCTTGAGCTTGCCAGGCAAGCACTTATTCTACTGAGCTATCTCCCCAGCCCTGTGAGAACATATTTAAAAACACACATTTTATTTTATTTTATTCTATTTTATTTGTGGCCAGCTCAGCCCACCCTGGGGTTGGCAATAGTGTGGTATGTGGTGCCGATGATCAAACTACGGTCCCTGCGCTTTTGCCTAAGCTTGCCTAAGCAGGTGCTTTAGACCACTGTGCTAGCTGGCTTGCCCCCAAAACCAAAAATTTTAGATAAATGATATAAGAAAAACACACATTTAGGGTACAATGACAAATGCTGGCAAGGTCATCTGTTCAATAGTCTGAAGTATAATAAACTTTTGAGCCCAGAACTTTTCTGGCAGTATAGTCAGAACAGTAATCTCTGTCTCAAAACCTATGTAAGCATAAGAATTATGTCTACAAATAAAAGTGAACCCCTGTATATTATAAGGACTATGAATAGGACAGACATCATCTGCTGAAAAAAAGGCCTAGGTTACTTGATCTGCAGTTTCTGCTCCTAAATAGAGTGCAGATTTAAAGGGATCACAGTCACAGCTACGGAACTCAGTGGGCTAGTTTCATAAATCATAAAGGCCTCTACCACCAAAGTAAATAAAAATAAAAGTTTAATAAACTGTGAGTATGTAACACACACAGACATGGAAGAAAGAGAAAGGGCGGGTAAAGTTACATCACCAGGTCTGAAGAGCTTCTACATCAGTAGTTTCAATTCCAGTGCTGAGTATGCTTTCATCTGGTTTTTGGAGTTCTGAGTGGTAGAGGCCTTGGAAGAGTATCATCTCTACGGATGGAATTTCAAAGTCCCAAAACAAGTGAGGCCCATTAAATACCAGTTGACACTGGAGGGGCAGCAGGCCAACTTAGTGCATGAGCAGAAGCAGGGAGTGTGAAGCTTCTAAGATTTGTCCAGTTACCAGAAGCAACAAATATCTGTTTCTTCCAGACAGGTAACAAAAATGCTAGTTGGGAACTGGACAGGATAATAGTAAGTTTCTGCTCTCTTCTATAAGACTCAGGCAATCAGTGCGCCAATGACATCTCTTTTCCTCACAATATCACAAGTCCTATGCTAGAGCTTTCTGATCCTCAATTATGACTTATCTATATGTTTTACATCACACATGATAAGATAGTTTCTGAATAGAGACAAGTTATACACGTTCAACTAAAGAAGAATTGCATTGCAAGGTTAATATTCACAAATGATTTTTCCCTTATTCTGGGATCACCTTGAAGTTCCAGGAGTCCTGCAACAGCCTTAAGTTCATTTAAAATAGCAACTATATATTTACAGGAAGATGTTTCTTCTAGTAGAAGTGATTAAAAAGCTGAACACAGTGTGTAAGAATGTACAGAGTTTTGTGCATATTTAGAAAAGCATAAGCCAAACTTTAATCAATGTACAGAGTATTTGACAATAGCCATTTATCATTCAATTCAATCCAAGGAGTTCAACTGAAATGAATATCATGATTTATTGCCAGGCAGTGACATCTATTTCAGAGAAAAGACATGAATTATGGAATATGGTGGAGAGAGGGGTCTCTCTCAGATTTCAAAAGTGAGTACAAGAAGCTAGGAACACAAACAAACAAAAATAATATACTGTACCATATTCAAAAGTATAATAAGAGGGATGTGAGACCTTATAGGGAGGCCTGTTGTCTACAACTGTGTTGCAGGACAGGATAGCACAATAGAGAATACTGATACACCTGTGTGAAGATACCTAGCCATTATTCCTCCTAACATTCAGAAGAAAACAATTAAATGAAGAAAAACACTTACGGCATGTAATAAAATTCTTTTAGAGGTTCTATACCAAAGGTACCAGTGTAGTATATATAGAAATAAAGAGACAAGAAACACCCAATCACCACGTCTCCATCCTTGTGCACACTGGTGCTCCTTTGGTGAAGGCAGGCGTCATTATCCAAAGTACTCAATAAGTCCAGAAGCTGCAGGAGAAGAAAGATAACAATCAAAGGGAACATCCTAAATGCACATGTAAAGCTTTAGGTTGAGTGAAGAGGAACCTTGTTTTGAGCCACTTAAATAAATATTTTGTGTGTTGTGTGTTTCAGAATGACACTGCTTCTCACTCAGGGGCATGTTCTGTTGCTTTCTCTCTCATTGTCTGTGCCTGCCCCACGTCCATGTGGAAGTTTGCCACCAGTTTTGCCTTGGGATCTACATCTGTGGTCTGGAGTCCCGTAGAAAAACAGAAGAAAGAAATTATGATTGAGTGGCAATTTCTCCACCTGAAGCCAACATGACTTAATCGAGGTCCACTGCTAGTAATATCCCAGAAGCCACCTCCTCCTGGGCAGATATGATCCAGTTCTTTTCCAATAAGACAGTGGCATGGATGCCATTAGAGTTGTTGCTAATAGATTGCACTAGAGGGTTTAATATTAGGTATGTTTTGAAACAGTCCTTAAATTCTCAAGGTCAGCCAAAAATATTGGACATTGTGCTTTCTAAGTGGAAAATTATTAGCTATCACCTGAAAAGTCGATAATCAAAAGTTGCAGCCACAGACTTTGCCTATTTAATTGTTCTCTGAGTACCAGTTCCAGGCAATGAAACCCATATCTACCCATCCATGCTTTCCATTGCATGTTGTACAAATAAAAGTTAGTTTTTGTATCTGTGTATTCAAAGAGGTTGGGATAGATATATAGTTGCATTCTCTTAATGAATAGAATGGTTTGTTCTAATGGTGTTTGTAAATAGGATCACAAGTCCGCATCTTGTACAGCAATTAATCACTAAGAAGAATATATGCAGTGCATTATTTGTTGAAAAAAAAAATAAAAGTTCTCAGACAAAAAAAAAAAAACAAATAAAAGTTAACTGTAGGGCCAAGAGAATGGCTCAGTAGAATAAGTGCTTCCCTGGCAAATGCAATGGTCTGAGTTGGATCCTTGGTTCTGGAAAAAACAAACTAACAAACAAACAAAAAAAAAAAACAAATAAAAGTTAACTGTAGGGCCAAGAGAATGGCTCAGTAGAATAAGTGCTTCCCTGGCAAATGCAATGGTCTGAGTTGGATCCTTGGTTCTGGAAAAAACAAACTAACAAACAAACAAAAAAAAAAAACAAATAAAAGTTAGTTAGTAACTGAGCAGTGAAGAAGCACAATATCCATTTTCATCAATTTCTGAAGGATTTTTGTATTAGATATAATCTTTCTTTCTTTATTTTTATTTTTTGCAGAACCTGGTATCGAACGGATACCCTTGCACTTGCCAGGCAAGCGCTTATTCTACTAAGCCATCTCCCCAACACTAATATTCCTTATTTAATATTTGTATGCTTGACATATATCTGCATTTCTACAATTTCAAATGAGTAACTTTATAAATTTTCACTCAAATATATTTCTTTCTTTTTTCTATTCAAAGTCTTATTGATAAACATATAGCAATGAGACAGTTTCAAATCAAATCGAAAGTACAGTTTCAAGAAATAATACACTGC